ATTAGTTAAGAGTTCACAATCCTGGTTAGTATTTACTGTGGTGTTAAAACATTCGTGAAGAATTATGTTTAGATTCTTTATGAGGTAAATATACAGGTTGCATGTTTGATATCCAAAGTTAGCTTCTTTAGCTTTGCGCTGGAACTACCAGTAGCTAATGTAGCTAATGATGACTACCAATGCAGCATGATGTAATAAGGCTAACCTAGCTAATAAGTAATGGAAACATATCCCATCAATTAGAATGGACTACAAAGTCTGGCACGTGGACAACATCATTTATCAAGCACGTGGATATATCAAATATACCATGAAGCTCTGCCAGTATAAAGCCATGGGTTTTTGTAGTTCAATTTATCTTCAAAGTTATACAACATAGTCAACACAGACAACAGACCTCTGAAGTTGTGTATCATGCCTATATTCAGAACTCTGGTTCTAAGCAGTTTTTCTCTAAGGAAAAAATGATACAAATCGTTGTTATCACACCCTGCAGCAAACAAAAATGTTCGAAACCAGATACGTTTTGTTCTGTGTACACTGTCCCACAAATGCCAATGGATCCTCTGAATTGCGAGATAATTTAGCAGTTGAAATACTAATAATACATGCTACAAGCAAACTAACACTCATGTACATTGAAATGACACCAAAGCAGCTTAAAGCTACATTACATAAGTTTTGAGAATTGACACCTCTCTGGTGGAAATGTGTAATCGCACGTAACATGCAGAACATTTTATAATGCTGATTGTGCTTCAGACACTTTCCACTTCACCATATTCCCCCGAATATGATGATTGCGAGATTTTTTGCTTTTCTATTATAATGTTTATATTGTTAACTCCTCACCAACCCATGTGTAATATAAATCAATACCTCATGTACGATACTCCATGTGAATTTCGGGCAGAATATCCTTGCAGTGTAAATATCTTTTATTTATTTATATTTCTTTATATTATTAATTTTTTGTGAAGGATAGAGTTTATATTTTTATCTTATTTTTTTACTTTTAGTATTATATATATATTCTCTACATAGTAACAAGTAACAAACTGTAAAAAACCTTGTTAAGTAATTAACAAAGTTAATTACTTGCTTGTTCATTTTTCTCCTTGTTTCTTCTTTTCTTTTTCTTGAGTGCCTTGCTAGCCCTTTTCTGTTGTAACGCTGAGAACTTCCCCGTTGTGAGACTGATGAAGGATTATCTTAATTTATCTTATTTTATTATACAGTCTTCAAAGAGAACCCGTTCAAATCTTGATGAAGAATGTCTTCCAAGCATGTAAATGAATTATCTACTACTGTCACCATATCTTTATCAGTATACAGCTGATTTTGCATTTGTGACCTAAACATCGAGCCTGTACGTATGATATTAATACATAACGATGATGTTCTGAAAAACCCCCACCAAATCCGACCCGACACCCCTGACTTTTAATAAGACAGGCTTTACAGGGCTACTTGCAGCAGCCCACGAACACGATGTTTCACTATGTGTTTTTTACTTCTTTCAATTTTGACAAAAAAACTCATAGTGCAGCTTTAACTACCACATTCGACAAAGCTCACTGGTTTGCGTGGGGTATTCTGTTGAGGAAGCCAGTCGTATGATGTCAGCACAATACAAATTTCAACTTCTTAATCACCTCGTAACTGAGGGGGTCCAGTGACATCCTGAGGAAAAAAATGTAAACAGCAAAATCCATCAGCTTTGGAAAATCTTTGTTCCACAGGGCAGCGATCAAAAGCAGCGTTTACTTTTCCTATAGATAAATCTGCTTAGACCTGAGGTTTCTAATATGGGCATGATAACGACTACAGAATGACGACAACATTCATTTCCCTATGGCAAAATGAGTTGAAAATGAGTTACTCTCAATATTTGCAACAAGATAGGACTTATGATTCGAATGTCTTTTCGCTGTCTGGGAATTTGCATAATATCTATGTGTAGGATGACTATAAATGAACCATTAGGACATGAGTAAGAGTACCAGAAGTGGGCTATAGGGAAAATGAGCGCCACTCTGGACACCAAACATGTTTTGGCTGATTGACTTCATTTGGACTTAAAAAGAAACTTATGCAAATCTGACTTCAAAAGACTTTCACTTTTAAGCATATGCCTACCTCCTTCCACACAGGATTGACTTCACTGCTAATGGAGCGAGTTTTTTTTGTTTCACCTAAAAGAAGAACACATGCACAGAAATTCATCTTTTAGCAAACAGACTACACGAGCAGGCCAATTCAGGGTTTTTGTTTTTTAAACTTGGCACACAGACGCACAGTTAAAAGCCAGTTTTTTTTTAAGCCAAGGCCGACATTTTTCCTTGACAAAGCCATAGTGCAGCTTCTATATTCCAAAACCGAGGGATGCCATCATACTTACATTATAAAACCTGAGCTCAAATTCTTTCCCTGTGTTTTTCCATGACACCATACGCCAATTATTAGCGTATCCTAGGAATAGTACTCTCAATATATGCAACAAGATAGGACTTACGATTCTAATGACTTTTCGCTGTCTGGGAATTTGCATAATATCTATGTGTAGGATGACTTTAAATGAACCATTAGGACATGAGTAAGAGTAATGTACCCGAAGTGGGCTATAGGGAAAATATATGCACATTAATAAACGAGTGTAGTGTATTCAGAGGTCAGAAATACATAAAGTGTACCATCTCTATATTGTCCAAAAGTTTGAAATAACCCTGAAACATACCTTTCTAAAACTACCCTTAATCTCATTCTACTAACGAAACATGCAGGCTACTCATTCAGTCTGAGAGAGCATTTAAAAGCATTACCTTTAAACACAACGAATGTGATGGGGTCCGGATTTCCAAGTCTCTTTTTAGGCAGTCCTGAAGCGGATTCGACTACAACACGCAACATGACTGGAGTTGTTTTTTCTTATCTTGTCATGTTAGTGAAGCGTTTTAGCATTTAACCTCCAGCTTCCTTCTTCAGTGAAATAAATCCAGTGGAGCGCTTGTGTTTCATTAAGCAGTGAAAGGAGGGTGTGGAGTTCCACCCTTTTCACCAGAACAGCCTACCTGCTCTGACTTACTGGGCCAGAGAATATTATCATAATAGTTTTTCCTTAAAGAGCTCGGTTTTTAAAAACAGTTTTATGTTTAGGGAATAAGTGTTAAAGAACAGAAAGTGAAAATAAGTCCCATGAGCATCGCAGTAAATAATGAAATAAATAAACGATTAGATCAAATTTCACTACTTTAACTGGCGGCTCCCTGGCTCCCCCTGCTGGTTCCCAACGGTTCGAATGTTCAAAACTGTTCATAACCTATTTTGAGTCGATGTTTAAGTTCGTGGATTTTTTTATAATTGGAGTTTCACAACAGTATCTGCATAATTCAGTCGCTGTGATGTAAACAAAGTCATTCGAAGTATGCCATTTTGTTTATTACCCAAAACGACTAGTGAATTCACTCCTATGATAATGATCTTGGAATCTGGTGGGGATCTCTCTCTCTCTCTCTCTATACATACGTATATATACATACATACATACACACACACACACACACATGTATGTATGTATGTATATATATCCTACTGTTATTCTGTTATTGCATTAATAGTTCACATTATTCACAATAAAAAATGAAAGAGTAAAAATAAGGTACAAAAACAGCAATCATAAGATACGCGAACTTGTTTTTTGTAATATTCATCTTCGATAGCTCTTCTACTGCTAGATGGCTTGATGCAGGTATTGTTTGATAGTGTGATGTACATCTTGATTTTGGGGTACGAAAAAAAAAGATCCTCAAGGGTTCTTTAGTAAAGAAAAAGGTTCTATATAGAACCATAAACACTCAAATAACCCTTTACATTGTGAAACGGTTCTTCAGATTGATGGAGAATGTGCTGTAGATGGTTCTATATAGCCTTTGTGAAAAGGGTTCTATATAGCACCAAAAGGAAACGGTTGACAAGCTTGACGTCATAATAGAAGAACCATTTTTGGTGCTACAAAGAACCATTTTCTTTACTAAACAACCCTTGAAGCACCATCTTTTTTTTAAGTGCGTAGTTGGTCTGCACAGGGACTTTCTTTTTCTCTGAGATTTTGTTTTATCATTTCTAGATCCCTTTCACCTGTTTGTTATAATTTTGATTATAAAATGGCTAAGGGCTCTAGTTCTATCAATGGGCTAATAAATACAACCAAGTTTTCTCTACTTCAGCCTACTTTTTTAACCCTATCAGTCCCAGAATAATTACTAATACATAAAAAAATAAATAAATACCAAACTGATTTCGGCTTTATTCAGTGACACTTTCACGCAACTAGTTGCATGTTGTGAGTTTCGTCTAACATAATTTTTGCACCACCCGAAAGCTGCATGAAGTAATTCAAAAACAAAGTTGGGAGGCAACACAGTTGACGACTCCACCAGACAGCAGTTCATTTTTTTTGGTACACAGTATCTGTGTTATTTACAGTGATCACTGCCATTCTTTTCTATATATTACTCTCACCTATGATTGTATTCTATATATTTGTCTTTTAAATAAACATTTTCTTTTACCTTAAAGTTTAAAGAGCTATTTTAGCTGTTCATCAAAGACTGCATCTGTCTCTTATAATTTATATATTTATATATATATATATATATATATATATATATATATATATATATATATATATATATATGGCACAATGGCACAAGCAACTGTTTAAACCATAAACCACTGCAGCATTAGCCAGTAGGTTAAAGAAGCATGGTCATGCTGGTTGACCATCATACCAGCATCCAAAACACAAAATATGCTGGCAGTCTACACTGGATTTTCTAGCAGTGATGGCGATGGGCAAATTTTTCATTTTGGCTGCAGTGTCTCTGTTTGTTCAGTTTACTCATGGCTCATAAATTTTGGCTTGATACATTTTTAATTAATATGGCACCAAAACAATACATTTCTGGAGCATTCGTAAGGATGCAAGTTTTGTCGTCTGGTTTAAGTCAAAATTAACTTTAGTCAATAACAACACACTCCTACAGTGTATGTTTAAATAACTTCTCTGAAAACTGCCATCAAATTTGTCACTGATGTTCATATGGCTGACAATTAAAAGGCAGAACACCATTGTACAAAACCCTAACATAACAGGACTTTACAAATTAAAAAATACACAATACAAACAGTGCTAAAGATATTATGAGTTAGTATTTTTTTCTGTGAGAATTGCTTAAGGTACAACATAATTACTGCTACATATTTTGTGGAAAGACAAAAACGCATCAAACTGTCAAGCAGCTGAACGATTATTTTTACTAAATAGTAAAAAAGTGGTTTTATAACATTAAGCATTTAAGTCTATTATAGATATACAGTAATTATTAACATTATCATAAGGATAAGCTGTCATGAAGGTCCTCAGCGTTATGCAGCAGCCTTCTGGCTCCTCTCAACGGCCATGCGCTCCAGTCTGTCAGTGTAGAAACCATTAAAGTCCAACCTGCAAAAATACAAACAGCTCAAACTGTGACTACAGACTCTGCTTAAGGAATTACAGCTGTATTCTTTTACAATTTACAAATTAAACTTTTCCCATGTGTCTCAAAGTCTCACACACCTGTAGATGATGTTGATCATGCTGTGCTCACAGTCATTAGTGCTGTAAATGCTCAGCTTGTCCAACAGGTCCAACAACAGCGTGCTGAAATTACTGTCAAACTTACTGATTGTGCCCTCAAAGCTGGAGTCTGACTGCAGGAAATCTACATGCTCAGCTAAGAACTGCAAGGTGGGAAAATGAATGAGATAAATAGCCAACTCGGACCTAGATCCCATTCTCAATGTAAACTGTCAATGAACTATTAATGCAGTATTATTGCTATGTTTGTCTCTATGCAAGGACATGAATCATATAATGATACACTAGACTGAATTATTACTGCAGCCTAAACCAACCTTATGGTCCATTACTATTATTTTTAAGCACAATAATACCTATTAGTCACTTACCTTGGAAGTAAGTTTTTTCTTTTCAGCCTCCTCGGTGCGTTCGCTTTGAGTTGGAGGGCCCTCCATGGTTCCATGTTCTAAAGTTAGATAGTTCATCTCACCATCCATTCTCATGCTTTGGGTGAATCGCTACAACAAAATCAAATCACTCTTAACTTATGTGAAACTGAATAAAGCATGAAGATTTTCCCCTTTTTTTCAGCTGATTTCTGAGGAGATTAGATATAAAATAATCCATTTGGATAAGGAAGGTGAAAGTAAGTGAGTTTTCAAAACTAGTGTTCCAAAAAATGAGATAAGGGTGCAAGACCTGGCAGACCTCAACGTCCTTGAATGTGTTCGGGATTATCTGGACTGTGTGAAGCAGAAAATGCGACCAACTTGTAAGACTGAACATCGGAGGTGTGGAAAAATATTCCTGCAAATTTCTTTGAAAGACTGGTAGCAAGAATGGACGTTGTAATAAAGGCAAGGAATGGACACTAAATACTGAACAATGTATATTATATTCAGTCATTGTGGCTTCTGCATAATTTTCTGTTAATTATGGTTTCTTGCACAACACAACAATCTATAATTATAGAATTACAAAGCACACCTATATAGTAAGTGGACCTGATAAAATGAACAGTTAAGTGTAACTAATAATACAATTACAATATCGTATTTTGTCATATTGTGCAGAATACTAAACAACTGCCTTAATTTGTCCTGTAAATGCACCCTTGCTATCACAAAAATGTAATGTAATGTAATGCAGTTCCACCCCTCCTACCCCTGAATACTTTATGCCAGTGGTTTCCAACATGGTCCTCAGGCCCCCCGAGACAATCAATATTTTTGCTCAAACCTAAGTCACAACACACAGGGATAAAGGAAAAATGTGGACCTTGAGGAGGGCCCTGAGGACAGGGTTGGGAAACACTGAAAACGGAGCAATACACAAGTTTGTCAGTATCACAAGCTGAAAGACAACTACTGCAACATGTCAGGATACACAATAAAAGCAAGAATGCACAACAAAACAATATCTATAATCAGACAGACTAAAGAGGAAAATTCAACTTGTAGTGCTCTTTAAGAATTCTGAAATGGCCTCTATGGCTATGTTTACATTACCAGGTTGAAGTGGCACAAATCTGATTTTTTGCCCTAATGTGACTTAGATCTGATGTTTTCAAATCTGATCTTTTCAAATCCGACCTGAGTCACTTTCAGTTGTGGTCCTAGATCGGATACGTATCCAGTTTGTGGCCATGCAATCTTAATGAGAACGCTTAGATTGGAATTCATGTGTTTTTTTTCCCACTGCGCGTGCCATCATTCAGCGTTACCATGGCAGCAGCGCCGAACCTGAAGTTAATTCTTACTTTAATAATGAACAGCTAAGAGTTAATTAACCTCACAGCAAAGGCTCGTTCTGCTCGTTAATTTATTTACTGTTTATGACACACATGATTCATTAATGTGACATTATTGATTAGGATGTGCACATGTGGGTTAAATCTGAAATTTCAGGACGCCAGTTCATTCACATTAATGACAGATGAGTCATTTCCCTAAACGAGCGTGAACCATCAGGTCAGAGAGATCAGATCTGAGACAGATTTAAGCAATGAGGCTTGTCATGTGAACGTAGCCTATGTCAATGACCTTGTGACCTGGCTGTTGTATTTCTCTCATTTACACACCTGCATGCAGTTGGTGAACATGACACAGACAGACATGAGCTTGGAGAAAATCTTCAGGAGCTCAGGGTTGGTCAGCATGCAGTCTTTCAGACAGTTATCCAAAAAACTGGTGTGATGGCAAAGCACATCATCAATGTTGGAGGCCTGCAAAGAGGATAAAATGAGCATACTAACATTTTTCTTTAAGGTTTCACCCTCTTTTATTATGTTCTGCAAGAGACTGCAGAAGACAATGTTAGTAAATGGTCACAGTGCTTTACAAAATAAACAGAATCTGATATCTGTGTGCTGTTCTCACCAATTTCAGGTTATTCTCCATGATGTGCCATGTGGGCTCCATGACTTCAAACATCATATAGTACTGGATGTTTTGCACAAAGTTCAGCATGCGCTGCCTGAGAGCGAAGGCACCAGCAAACCTACATTTCAGGGATAGAAAAGACAGTCAGTTATATTCAGACAGGAGGTAGAAGGTAGCTCTTTTTATTAGCTTTATGGTTTAAACAATAACACTCTCTCTCATGATTAGAGTCAGATTGTGGTAAATCATTCACTAATTCAAAACTCTTTTCTGCCAAATGCAAAGACTCATTGGTGTAAATAATTTACATTGCATCACTTACATTACTAATGGTGTACAGTAGGGGTGTACTGTACACCTTACAGTAGGGGTGTACTGTACACCTTATCCTTATTTAATTACATTTATTTAACATTGTCTAACATACGCAGTGTGAAACACAAGCGTGTCACAGAATCATTTGTATACTATTTTTTTTCAAATGTTGCATTGCTGGTTCTTTTTGTCTGTTCCAACTAGTGAGATACCAGAAAAAAATATTGTTAAGGTGAAAATTTCTTGAAAATATCACCATTGGACAGATGTTTACATTTGATCGAGTTTTCAAACTGATAATGGATGTATTTATTTTACTCAGGAAGAACAGAACGTTTAGGCGAAGCTCGGCTGCGAAGCCGAAATTACTGCATTTGTAACCTTAAATACACAAATGTTACATTTTCTGTAATGCCAATCCAGGTAGATTTAGTCCTGTTTCACACATGTTTGAGTATCAGCATCAGTATCAGCAGACATGTATATGAAAATACTGACTGATCATAATACTGATCGCATCAGCCTACAATTCCCATATCAGTGCATGTCTACCTAAAAGTAGGCTATCATGCTACACCAAACTACACCACAGTAAGAACTACACAGCTAATATCACATCACACAAAGTGAGTGTGTGCTATTTCAGGCAAGATCTGTTAAAAGACCAGATTCATCATAAAAACATCAGATTCATTCTTTTATTCCGAGATCCGATCCACCATTTCCTGCTGATATTGGCCTAACAGCAATAACCATCAGTACTGATATGCCATCTCTGCCAGTTACAATTTACTGGTTGTTGCTATTTTTTAGTGATACTCTATAATTGGTCTTAAACTAAAGTGGTATTGTGAGGTAATTTATCACAATAATGATATTATATGTTACCCACCCTCCCTTTGGGGTTTTATCTCACCACTTAGCAGAGTGCAATGAGTACTGCTTGGCTGACTTGTTGCTGATCCATACATTGCACAGCAGCCTCTCGACATGCTTGCAGTAAAACAGGTGCCTGAAGAGCATCTGGTATCTTGTTAGAGCTTTCCTGGAATAATAGTTTTGATCTTAGTATGTAGTCAGCCTTACAGTTCAAAACAACAACAAACGATGATCTACTACACAGCAGGCAGTTGGAAACCACAGCTTATAAAACTGTTTACCTGTTGATTATAAGTGACAGTGGCCATTTGACAATGTAGTCAAAAGAGAAAGCTTCCAGGCCACTGAGAGCCACATCAGTGGGGTCGGCACTGATGATGGCCTTTTCCTGCTTTGTCTCTATGGCCAGCACCCGCAACAGCTGAGTAATGACATCGTGGGGCATCAGGTCGATCTGGAGAACAACAGGAACATTTCAAAGCATTATTACTTCGAACAGGTACCAAAATGGACTAATAATCAGACTGTTAATGGCAGTTTGTAAATTTCATACATGGTTTCCATGGCATATAAAAGCGTTGAAGTCATATTTATAACTAATAGCTAATGATGCTGCAAGGAATATTAAATTACTTAAATTTGGTTTAGGCAGACCTTTAGGCAGAGACAAATATGTTTAAGTAGTGTACCTTTAGATCATCTTTGAAGGGGTCTGTGTTGGCTGTGCTCATTCTCAGAGCTAGCTCCAGCAAAGCCTCTAACCGAGGAGGGATGATGTCATCAACAGGCTTCTTCAGCTCCTCTTCCGTCAGGTCCATGAAGTGCACAAAGAAGTCTCCCTTGTCCATTAAAAAATAGTGCTTGATGGACCTAAATACACACAGAAAAGAAAGTTATGTGAAGCCACCTGCTGTTTGCACTGAGCTGAAACAGCTGGGGTTTATGTCTCATATGCAGATTAAGCCTAAGCCTAGGCTACACTAATACAGGTTATCAGTATGCAGAAAGTTTACCTCAGTCGTGACACCAGCTCCTTCTCCTCCATAAGAAAGTCCAGAAGGACTTTACTGGCATAGTTGTAGGCTTTTTCAATTTGTTCCACATATGCTCTCTCTTTCAATGTGTAGAGAACCTCTTTAGCATCTGGACAGGTCACATCGCGTCCACATTCTCTTACAACATTCAAGTACTTTCCTGGGAAAGTACAATACAAAAAAAAAAACAAACAAAAAAACCCACAACAGACCAATTAAGATTCCTTGCTGAGAAAGAGTTTAACTAATAGATATTCACTAATAGGTCATCCAAGGTCTAATTTAATCACTTAGGTGAAAAAGTTATTCAGTGTGGTTTAATGTGAAATGGTTAATTGTAGGAAAACCTACCAACATTTCTTACTGACTTTCATTACTGTGGTGGTGGTAGGAACCAGAGGACGCAATGGCAACAATGACTACAATGCAAATACATCCATTTTAGTTATTATTCACACTGACCAGTGAATCTTTTTTTATGGTACGCCAACAATGGTAAAATAGTGGTAAATCTGAAAACATTTTTGAAAGTTTCTTTGGGCACTAATTTGCCTTACAACAAATGGACAAAAACATTTTATTATTGTAAAACAATAGGTATTCATAGCCATTTCATGTAATAAGTCTTCAGAAAGCCTTCAGAAATCTGGTTCCTATCACCATTGTGTGAACAATTTTAACTCAGTATGTGGTGTTGTATCAGTATCGGCTCTAATACTGGCACTTAAATACAGCATTGAAATCAGCAGAGTGACGCCTGCTGAGTTACGTTTACATGCTAAGAAATGGAGCTTAACCACTTTGAAATACTTTGTTTACATTTTAATGATTTGAATACAGACATTCTAGCGTTCATAGACATTTAGTCTCACCCGTGCTGAGTATTTTATCTGCCATTTTTTGAAGGAAAGATGGGATTTTGTGCTGCACAATGGTGTATCTTTGATCCCAATATTTATCATTATAATCCTCCTGGATCTTCTCCTTCTGAAGCTCATGTTCTTCAACCATGAATTCACTACCAAAACAAGAAGATACGATTTAGCACTCTCTCATATTAAAGCATATTTCAAACACTGCTAAAATAAGAAATGATGATCCAGTAAGCCACCTCAGGGTATGGGGACAAACATAAATAATAGATGAAACAATTTCAATAAGCAGGATTAATAATTAAACCAACCGAAAGGAAATTGTAAAATATATCATATGTACATATCGGCTGTAAAAAAATCCAATATTTTCTGTACCTGTACGGATCTTTGATGATTCCCCGATAGATCCACTTCTCCAGGATTTCAAAGTACGGAACGCTGGCTGCTTTGGTGAGATAGAGGCACAGCTCTTGGGCCTGGCTGTCCCCAGTGTAGTTGAAGGTGCGGTCGTGAAGCAGACTTAATGTTGAGCCCCCCATGCATTCTCCTTTCTCTACTGAAGTGGCTGCAGGACAGAACAAAGGAGGAAGCCTATTAGCTACTTGAGTATGTCAAACACATCAGCCTAAATACAGATGGCACAACACTCATTATTTCCAAAAGCAAGACTTACAGTTTGAAAATGTCTCACTAGCTCATTTTAAGAATGACTTTTGATTTTTGAAGGTCAAATGCTAAAATATAATGGTGAAAATTGCCAAGTATACTGTTGTAAAAGTAGTTCTTTGTTCACAAATATACATAATTTTCTCCTCACCTCTGCCGTCTATCAGCCAAAATATGTTACCCTATAAAAATGGACTAAATACAGACAGAACTCAGGCTTCAACATAGCCCCTACTACCATTTTCAGGTATGCAATGAACTTTTGCCCGGTTTGGCGCTAACAGCATATCATAATGCGTCTGTGTTTAAGATAACTTAACGCAAGACTGAGAAAAGTGTGATAAGCTACATTAGTGTTGTAGCTCCAGTAGAAAACTAAAGAAGAAAACGTCAGACACAAAACATGTCTTTGCTGATTGAGCACATTGCCACTAATCATCAATTTAATGATAAACGCAGGCATACCAATGGAGGCCAGGACCTCAATGGTGCGCATGGTGGGCTGGATGTAGAACCAAAGCTTCTGCAGGGAGAGCATGCCTTGTCTGTGCAGGTGCTCCAACTGGGTCACCAGAATGAGATACTCCTTCATTAAAGTCCTCATCGCAGCAGTGAGTGCGTGGTTCACCTGACCATACTCAAAGGAAGATTTCTCCTCAGTGAACCTGAATAGGCAGTTCAGGCACAATACAGAACAACAGAGCTTAACATGAGATAATATACTTTCAAAGGTAATTTGAACACTCCAGAATGTTTTAGAAATGCACTGTACTATGTAAAGCCAACAATGATTTAGGGAATTATCATTTGCTTACTGAAAAAAATAAGTCTAACCCTAAAGATGTTTCTTGAGTCAGAGGCTGACGCACCCCTGCTGTAATACTGAGCATTGCCTGCATCAATATTTTATCACCCGAACTCAGAACTCTCCTAAATTATCAAGCGTCCCCAAAAACACCACATTACTTGCCGTGCCTGCTTAAACAAGGGAAAATAAATAAATGCTTTATTTTAGCACAGAAACATGTAAGCTAACTTTGTTTTGGTATGATTTAGTAGTTTTTACCATAGATTTTAATGAAACATGTGTTTAAAGCCTATAGATGGCCAATATAATGAAATTTCATTGTGATAAATGTTATTGTGATAAACAATATGCTTGTTTGAGCATATTGTGGATATAACCATTACTTAAAGACCACTGACCAACTGCTTGTTTCATTACAAAAAGCATAATTAATCCTGTTTAACTGGATAAATATTGTTATTTATATAATAATACATACACACATACATACATATGTACAAAGAGCTTTTGATGGCTGTATTTAAAATCTGGCACTACTAGTGCTTTGCATATCAAAATACTGATTGATGATGAAATGTCTATATTTTGTATATATGTCTGTATATACTTGTTATATTGCATCCTAGAAAGCTTCTTGTTAAAATAATAAAATTGCTAAAGCTTAATCATGTAAAGTAGCCTAAATGCTGCTGATATGTAGCTATGCATTGTCTTTTTTGTTTTTAGTAACAGACATAATCATAACATAAAAATCTTTCAAGCCCCTGTTCATTTTTGTGAGGGAAGCCATTTTGTATGCATAAGGCTGCTGCACAGCTTTGTCACTTAAACAAGCCACAACCCTGGGTTAAAAAAAATAAAAACCCACAAGCATCTACCTCCCGCTGCTACATAATGTTCTAAAGCCAGACAACATATCAGGGCTGATTCAGATCATGGACTGCGACAGACTGCAACACAACTATCACAGTCGTGCTGGAGGGAAACTATCGGTGACTGATGGCTCATCTACTAACCGTGTGATAGTAGAGTAACACGAAGCCACTGGCAGTATACGGTTCACAAGTTCCTTAATAGACATGTCCAGAGAAGGGTCTACTATAAAAGAGCGACTCTGCCTGCCAAGCACAGGCTGGGCTGTGACGTCTCTTCCATCCACACCAACGAGCACATACAGCAAGTCTTCAACCAGAGCCTGCTCCTGGACAGGCAGCGGCATTGTCCCTGTGAACACATCAGAATTAAGGATTGTGACTTTCCCATATTTTGATATCTATACGGAGGAACAAACAACATTATACAAAAATGACAAGGCTATTTAGAGAACAGATACCTTCATTTTGATGAAAGTCCTAATCTTGGGCAAAGCTTGCATAAACACTATCCGCACCAATTACAAGGTTCATGTGGCTTGTCCCACCTACACAGCTTTAACTAAACTGTGTTGCCCCAGTTTATCAGTTTGAGTCAGAGAAATTTAGTGAGAAAAACTAAATACCAAGTGAAATCTAGCACACGTGTGAGCAACAAAAATAGCAGTATATTGTCAGGATCACATTCAAAATTCCACTTTTAAAAAATATATACATACCAATTGAAAAAATACATATATTGTTTCCAGAATCGCCAACTTCAGGCAAAATAGTCAGATGTGATATTTTGTCACACTTGGCGCACACAGCATCAAGCATTTAGACACTAAATGGAACCAACAGCTATGTGTGGGCAACAAAATATTATGCAGATAACTGAATCACAATCAGACGTGCATCAAGTCTAGTATTTTATACATGCTCTTGGGAGAAGCTGCCAATTTTTACAAATAAGAAATCAAATTTGTCTAAAGCTCCAGAGAACCTAAGTCAGTGTTTTCTTTTTCTAATTAGGTTATCTTTGCTCTTATGGGAACGCAATATACGTACACAAAGTATGTCTTATGAATAACTTGTGTCTACTAAATGGCAGATGTATTTCACCACAATTTTACCCTTTCAGTGTAAATTGGGCTGTCTAAATCTTGCAGAAGCTTTACCTTCACCAATTACAAGGCTGATGTTGCTTGTCCCACCTACACAGCTTTAACAAAACTGTGTTCTCCCCCTGGTTTCTCTGTTAAAGTCGCAGAAACTTAATAAGGCAAGCTAAAAACCAAGTGAAAGCTAACCTGGCACAGGTACGAGCTATCAGGAATAGCAGTATATTGCCAGCGTCACATCAAAAATTCCACATCTTAAAAAATATAAATATCATTTGAAAACACCAACAGTGCTTTACAGTGAGTGGAATTTTACTGATAAATGGATCAATAGAAATTGTCAAAAATTATTTAAAACTTTTTTTTGCATCGACATTTGTTTCTTCTCCTGAAAAGTTTACATGTCAGAGAAACAAGGTTTTATTACAACAGTGATGATTGCAGAGAAATACTAAAGAATGTATGTGTATGTGTGTGTGTGTGTGTGTGTGTGTGTGTGTGTGTGTGCGCGCGCAAAAGAGAGGACAGCTATCGTCAGTCTTTGGCTATGTCAGAGTGATAGCCTTGCCATCAATTTGTCAAGCTATAGCCTACACATACATTTCCTGGACTAGGGAAAATCCTAGTTGTAGACTACACTGTCCTTTCAGTGGAGACTCTCCATTCAAAATGTTGTGTAGTCCAAGACTAGACTAAAACCTTGTCTGGAAAACTTGACCCTGAAAGTTCCTGAGCTTACCAATTGCCACCACTGGATCCCCCATTGGTGTAGGGCTGGTGATAAAGTCTCCAATCAATGCTGGTCTATCATACACCCAGTTTGGAAACACCGGAATAGGCTGTGTGGGATTCTTCTTGTTGTGTCTGTCTCTTAGCATCTTACGAATAACTTCAGCAGACTGTAAAAGAAATACTAAGTTTAGTCCCTGCAATTTAACATGATGTTGGCTCCTCTAGAGAACAGAGATGGCTTCATTTTTAGGGAGGACTGTTAAGTAAATACCTGTGGAACACTGGCACTGGCTGTGACATTCCCAAGCTTCTTCCGCAGCTCCTCCAACTCTTGCATTGACATCTTGGTACTGGTTGCAGGAATACTGAAGGACGTTGTGCTGCTTGATGTTACATTTGCAGACATCTCTGATCTCTCCTTGGCATTCTGTTGCAGACATTTCAGAGTCTGGAGAAAAAAGCACATAATCCAGGTTGGCTGCAATATAACAAACCAACAGCAGTAACTAGTCCTCATGTGTAAATTAATGACAATTTCAAGCAAAAGTTGATTAACTCAGAGCACCTCTTTATCTTCAGTGAGCTTTGAAAGGAGATAAACAAGGGGGTCCAAGTTGCGTGCATTTTTTGACTTCAGCTCTTCATATTTCCTCAAAAAGTCTTCCGGTGTTTTAGAGTGCTCTGCAATCTTAACCTGTAAAAAACAGGGATGTAACAGTGAATTGTGAAATTGTGACATCTTACTGCAAAAAGACATTCTATAATGTCATCTCATGTAATTGCATGGTTTGAACACCAAACATCAGCACCGTTCAACTCACACCAGCATTAGTACTTAACAATAACATGATTATAGTCATCATTTTCTTTATTCAAATTTTGATCTAAATATTGTAAGAATACCAAATTATGAACCCAGAATCATCATCGACTCGAATCCTGGTTAAAAAAAAAAGTGTCATTTCTTTTTTTTTTTTTAGCTCTGTACAAGAACAGCACAATATAACATTTGTCAATCATTATTGTTTCACAGGCCTTTGCAACACTGATAATGCACAATATGTGGTGAGCTGAATCTTGCTGTTTTAGTTTTAGAGTTTATTCATCCCTGGCTCAGAACTGTGTGAAAACTGAAAGTGATCATTGGCATTCTCTGTTTTTTATAAACTTTATAATAAGCCATGAAGCTAATCAAGCAAATGGCATGAGCTACTAAACAAAATAGTCAATCAAATGTCTCGCATAGCTTGTCTTTATCTCAGGCAGTGCATCCCCATCACTGCAGTAAACTGCTGCATTAAACAGCCCGAGAGCTGCGTTATACAGCCAGAGAGCGGTGATATTCCAGAGAGTTATTTTGGTTAAACACACTGTGTATAACTGGCAGACAGATCGGTGGCATGTGGATCACTAATGTTAGATTTCTGGTAGCATCTGGTAGAAACTGGTAGCGTGTGAGCAGAAATACTGACATACTTAATAAAAAACAAATACAACTGTTTCTCCAAATGTCTTCTCTTTCCTCCTTTGTGCTTGTTTACTTCTATACTACAATTGATTTCCATCTCAACTCCCACCCAGGTGACCAACTATAAAAAGGGGTCATTTCTGGAATTTTCTTCACAATGGACAGCATGTTATGGGCTCAGAACATAAAAAGCAAGTGCTTACTTATACATATATAGGCAAGACAGGACATTAGGTGTGGATGACAAAATGTGGCCAAATAATGCACACCAAATCAACTAAGCATTTACAGTATCTGTGACTTTTTTCTTTGCTAGATAATGTACAGAACTGGATTTTTTTTACATTCTATTACTTAATTTGTTCATATACAATAAATATATACCATTGTTTTTAATGTATCTAATGTAATGAATGCTTTTTCATTCATTGTAAAAAAACAAAAAAGAAAACAAAAACAAGTGTCAATTGAACCTAAAAAAAAACATTTCATGTGGTTACAAACAATTTTAGTGGTTTAATTTAACTCGTATGAATACTTCTTAAAAAAACAATGCAAAGCAAAACTCTAGTTTAGATCAGTATATCTATCTATATCTATAACTATATGCGTGCGTGCGTGTGTGTGTGTGTGTGTGTGTGTGTGTGTGTGCGTGTGTGTATATACACACACACACACACACACACACATATATGTTGGAACTTTTTGTTTGTCCTATGTGCATATATATATATATATATATATCGCTGTTGTCAGGACAAAACCTTGTATCTCCATTTTTGGCGTTTTTCAGTTTTTGACATAATTTGAAAATGCCTGTTGCCCTTTACATTATGTATACATTTCATGATGAATGGACTAAAAAAAGTTGTCATTTTGGAGATATGAGGTTTTGTTCCGACAGCAGTGACCGATCACAGGGCTGACTGTATTGGAGGCTACGTGCAACAGCCCATCTTAAACTCTCTGTCATACTAATATTTCCAGGGGATTATTTTCAGATGGCTAACACGCACATTTGGAGACAATACAAATGTACAGGTACAGCTGGACAATACTTATGAACTGGAGATTCTCATGAATGCGAACAGATATCCTTCATGTACATAAAAAATGAACAAAAACATATCAACAGAATAAGGTCATGTATTATGAAATTTTCTAGGCTGTCATCACCTGCGACTGCTGCTGCCATTGCAATAGACAAGATGAGTAACGTGGGAAAAGTAGGTCACTTGTCATTTCACATTGATATTTCTGTAGCCTACCTTTTGCAATTCTTGGAAATTAGAAACATAATAAGCATAATTTAGCAGTAAAATGTGTTTTGCTTTATTTTTCCTGTGTGTTATCACTTTTAGCTTCTGGTTTTGTCCTGCCCCGACAGCTAATCCGATGGCCGCTTCCTCATTCCTAATTTAGAACACCTACCCGCCCCCCCCCCTTCCTTTAACATTTCAGCGCAGACCAGTTCAAACAGCTTTGTTGCTGTTGGGACTAAACCTCCATTTTTGATAACATTTCACAATGCCAGCTGCCCTTTACATTGTGTCAAAATATCAAGATGAAAAGACCAATAAACCTACTCCAAAATTACCTGGAATAAATATTTTCTCCATTGACTTCCAATAAATTTTAAGGAGGTTTTTTCTTTTGTAAATTAGCTTTTCTGAGATACAAGGTTTTGTTCTGAGAACAACTAAATGCTTTAAACTGGTCGCCTTAAATGACCAACGATTTGCTGTTGTATGCTTATTTTATGTAAACTTTTTTACTTGTTGTCAGCTTTTTCTCTTTTCAGCCCAGTGTGTCCTCAGTTCCGATTTCAGCCATGAACTTCAATTTCGATGCATCTGTAGTCTAAAGAGGAACTCCAATTTTTCAAAATGTCTGCATAATTAAATCTTTATGTAAACAAAGACATTCAGGGTGGTTTTATGTGAAATACATCACTCTAGAGAAACTTAATGAGCTAGAATTGTTCCCAGTGGTGATGATACCAAACGTGTGCAGTGATTAATGCCTCTAAAAGTTCCCTCACAGAAAGTTATTACATGAAATAGTCACAAATATGCAGCCTGATGACATAGACAAAAGTAGTTTTGAGATAAGGTTTTTAATAGTAGGTTTTTTTAATTAATTTAAGACAGAGATGTACATGCAGAGTGTTGTAAGGCAAAAGTAGTCCCTTGAGAATTTTTTTTCCCCAGCTTAACCACTATTTTACCAAAATTACCTATAAAAATTTGTATGCATGAACATTCACTGGTCATTTTGGACAATAAACAAAATGGCTATAATTGTGTTGCACCTAGTTCCTATCACCACCATCAACGTTTTTCATCCTGCACTGTACTAAATCCAATTACTAATAATTCTGTCTTTGTAATCAAACATGCAGTTGCAAAGTGTTTTTTTTAGTATTGATGACATCCATGATATGCTCATTGTGACATAATTCATCTTAATAACAATAAATACTGTTATACATATTGCCCAGCCCTAGGTAGTATGTTACACTACCCATTCATGAAAGTGTTATGGTATACTGTAAAGCACTTCACAGTACTTTTCAATACATATGCTGCTCAAATTGCATAACAGAGACAGCTGAACACAGTTCTCATACAAGCTGCAATCTAAAGAGGGGAGGCTCTACTCTGAGACACTAGATCACAGCTTCTTATTCTCCTTTCTAAGGTGGAAATTGCCTCTTTCATTTAACATTTCGATCCCTACCTTAGCACTGTGTGCAGACACTGTAGTGGTGACATATGGGGTTCTGTTCTTCTGCAGTAAATCAATATACACTTCAGCCCCATCACCTCCTCGGACATGAAGGAGGCTGAGCAATTCGTTGACATCGTGATGGATCCTGAATTCACTCATGGCTTCACATCAACCACCTGCAGTAAAGAAAAACAATATTCACCTAATTTTATCACCTGCTGTGACTAAACAGTCAACGTTACCGTTACCTAGACGAAAGCCAGCAAGTTACAGACAACGGCGCATCAGAACAATAAGTGCATTAACGACCCTGTGGATGAAAGTGGATAACCAAACTGACTACAATGACAGGTATTATTTCAGTAAAACTAAATAGTTTCTCCAACTACCATTTTAACTTTAGCTAGCTATATCTAGCCAGCCAACACAGCGAGTTTCATTTTCCCATTTAAGTTACTGCAGGTTCTCTACCTACTAGCTACCTAGCATTAGCTCGCTAGCTGCCGCTAACATCAACGGAGGCAGCCGCTTTCTTTGGCAAAGCCCAAACTGTTAACGCAAAAACCCCCTTATTCATAGATAAAAATCCTCTAAATATATTTACCACATGAGACAGCGTATATAAACGTTGGGGAAACTAGCCAACATTACCACAACTGCAGGAGCTTGCAGTTAATATATCAACATCTCTGTCATTCCTAACGTGAAGTCAGAGACTACCAGTTTTTTCCTTTAGAAGGACCGCCAAAACTACCAGCATTACAAAATAAAAGTTGTCTTACAGCAGCTATTAGGTTGCCGAATGTGTTCAGTGCAGCTGGGGAAATGATAAATAGATGTGTAGGAAGGGGAGAGAAAATGAGGAGATGAGGATGTAATGGATTAAATAATTACATTTGCAATGGAGAGATAATGAAATGAAAAGATCTTACATAAGCAGAGTGCCTCAGAGAGCTTCTTCTTCTTCTTCCTACATTTTTACACTTTTCACTGTTAATTGGTGAATATGTACGTTCCTTTCATTTTCTAAAAAGTACTTAAAAAGTGTACTTAACTACAAAGACATAAATGTTTATTTTGTCTGCAGCCTGTGGTTCCAGCAGAAAAGATGATGAATATCGCCATGGTTTATCTACGCCTGTTACAGTCATCTGTAATTAAAGCCTGCACATTGCTAATGATGCTTCTGTTTCATTTGGTGATATCTACCATCGGAACACACTAATGACAATATTTATTTACTATATCCATTTTCATGGATGTACCTGTCTGTAGCCATGTGGAAATTTGATATTCATACATTTTAATTCATTTAAATTATTATGACACTTTTCATACTATGAACTCTTCATGCTATAAACTCTCTTTATGTAAGCAACTCTGTTTGTGTTATAAACTGCCTTTGTGCTATGAACTCTCTATATACTATACTATGGCAAGGCAAGTTTATTTACCCCGACCAGCCACTTCACTTGTTTCTAATTATTATACTTACATTATAGGTGCACTTTGTAGTTTTTCACTTACAGACTGTAGTCCAGCTGTTTACTTTGTTAGCCCCCTTTCACCCTGTTTTTCAATGGTTCAGGACCACCACAGAGCAGGTATTATTTGGGTGGTGCAGTGACACTGACATGGTGGTGGTGTGTTAGTGTGTGTGTTGCGCTGGTACGAGTGGATCAGACACAGCAGTGCTGCTGGAGTTTTTAAACATATACACTCTTGAAAAAGATGTTTCTTCAATGGTTCTTTTGTAAAGCAAAATGTTTTATTTAGAACATTGAACAGTCAAAGAACCCTTTGCATGATTAAAGGGTCCTTTGCATCATGAAATGGTTCTTTAGACAGATGGAGAATGGTGCTGTAGAAGCTTCTATATAGAACCTTTTTGAAAACAGTTCTATATAGCACCCAAAAGTGTTCTTCTATTGTCATGATGTCAAGCTTGTAACAGTAGAAGAACCCTTTTTGGTGCTATACAGAACCTTTACAGTACATTCTCCATCAATGTGAAGAACCCATTCACAATGCAAAGAATGCTTTAATCCTGCAAAGTGTTCACAGGTCTTTATAGAACCATTTTCTTTGCTATAGAACCCTTGAAAAACCATCTTTTTAAGTGTGTATTGTTCATATACAATACATTCTCAATCAATCTGAAGAACCATTTCACCACGCAAAGAACAATTTAAGCATGAAATAGAGAACTCATGGATCTAAACAGAACCGTTCCCTTTACTAAAGAACCCTTAAAGAACCTATAAAATGTGTTTATACTATGAACTCTGTCTATATGTAAACTATGCTATAAACTGTCTTTTTCTTATGAACTCATATAAAACTATGCTATAAATAGAGTAACGGAATTCTCTATTAAATAACCACTCTATGTTATAAACTTTATACTATGTCTTTATACTATTAACTGTACACTATAAACTCTCTATGGTATAACTATGGGTAACCTGAGGTTGAAGAATGATGCTCCGTGGTGTTTGTCAAAAGGCGAGTAATGGGGATGTCATTTTTACGTACATTGACATGCATATAACAGAGCAATGTCTGCCCGTTTTACCTGACTTCTGTTCTCAAAAATATGTCAATATGGTGTGTTGTGGCAATTACATTCTTGTGCAGGCTCTTGTTATTGTGAACTGCAGCGTCAAGTTGCATGTCAATGCTGAGCTGTGAATAGAGCACAGAGCAATATTTGTCTCAAAACACAATGCATCATGCTACCTCCAGGGACACTTCTCAGTAGGATTAACGACTCACCGCCAGCAGTACCAGCAAAAAAAAAGGAAGAAAATGAAGTGCCATCTCACCAATCCATTGCAAATCCCACACAATTCCCCCCTAAATGAGCTGATCCAGTCACCCCCCACAGTAAATGACAAAAAAACAGAGGCAATAGAAGAAGAATTGAGCTCACTTTCTGCCTCAGTCAAATTTGTTGCTGTCATTCAATGTGGAACATTTAAAGCTATCTTTTGCATTTCCCTAAATTCTTTTGCAAGATGTTTACCAAGAAGATACATGGTAAGAAAAGTGAATCACTACAATATCAATATTACATACTGCATATAGAAAGATGAGCCAAAACATTATGAATACTTACCTAATATGCTGTTGGTCCTCCACATGCCTCCAAACCAAGAGGCATGGACTCTACTAGACCTCTGAAAGGTGCCCTGTGGTATCTGGCACTAAGACATCAGCAGCAGATCCTTTAAGACCTGTACATTGCGAGGTGGAGCCACCACAAATTAAGCTTGTTGATCCAGCATATCCCACAGATGCTCGATTGGATTGAGATCCGGGGAATTAGGAGGCCAGGGCAACACCTGTTCCTCAAACCATTCCTGACCAATGTGTGCAGTGTTGCAGGGCACTTTATCATGCTGAAAGAATACTCATCATTGGGGAAAAATATTGTCATAAAGGGGTGTACCTGGTCCGCAAGTTTAACCCTTGTGTGGTGTTCACACACACAAACACACACACACTAACAGCAGGCCATGGAGGAGGAGAACAGAGTGAAGGGACACAGCACCTCCACACTGTTATTCCCCACGGGTTCACCCAAACACTACATGTGTAATAGAATTGTGTAGGGGGGGGACAGTGTGAAGTCATTGAAAATGTGTTATATATACTGTATGTTCTTCATATAAAATGAGCAAATGCCAATGAATCTGGGGTTGAAATAATAATAAATTGCATATTTTTTTCTTTTGGTACACATTGAAAATGGGTCCCACAGACACCACACAAAGGTTAAGTAGGTGGCATGTATCAAACTGATGTTCACATGAATGCCTGGACACAAGGTTTCCTAGCAGAACGTTGCCCAGAGTCCTTCCACCGGCTTGTCTTCTTACTACAGTGCATCCTGGTGTCATCACTTCCCCAGGCAAACAGCATATATTTATTTGGCCGTTCACATGATGTAAGAGAAAATGGGACTCTTCAGCCCAGACGACCATCACACCAGGCAAACTTCTCTTTCTCAGGTCCGGTTCAGACACTCACTTGGACACTGTCCTTAAAAAGATCTTTTATCCATTTTAAACCATTGTTGTACCAAAACTTAAATGCTGCATCCCTAAGTGAGGGTGAGAAAAGCACATTTGCAGCAAATGAAAGAGAGGGCAAAGCTTGTCTGAGCTTAAAGTGGGTCCTAAACTAGGACCATATTTGTAGCAAGCTGCTCATGATGGGGTTATTTGTAAGATGCTGTTTACTGAGTGGTAATGGGGCACACATTAAAGAAGATGGGCAAAATGCTGTTCCATTTCTGCCCACACCAATCCACCTCTCTCATAGTACGCTGAGACCCAGTATGTTAATTTATGAATATTAGCTGCCCAGTAATACTTCACATTGTATTCTGAAAAGAGGAGTCACCTTGTGCAGCTGGGAACAAGCAATTGGAAACTACTGGAGTTGATAAAGACATGCAGGACAAACCGAAATATTTTCTGAATTGCGACCAAATTTTCAGGCTACCTTTGACAACTGGGTTCTGACAATAGAATGGTATAGTCAATGGTAGGGGAGAACAAAGCAGAGCAGACAGAGATGAAGGACCACAGCTTTTAGATTCTATATCTAGCCAGGATGGGCGTTCCACCTCTCCATTAACCTTTAACCAGTACAACAACGCCCTAAAATTGGCTGCCCAATAATATGACGGGAAGTTAGGTAGAGCCATTCCTCTGCATATTTCATATTTTTGGTCTCTGTAACAAGGCTTTGCGCATTATTATATTTTTATCACAAGAGATTTTAAATGGCAGAGTATTCAAAGGGAGCTGATAGGATGTCTTACTGAGTGGGAAAATTTCGCTCTTATCAATGTACAATTTATATCTAGAAATTTTACCAAACTGATCAAGTGTACTGAGGATGTGTGGTACAGAATTAAGGGGGTCAGAAACATATAAAAGAATGTCATCAGCATATAGGGACATTTTGTGTTTAGATCTGGCTCTAAGTATACCTTTAATGTCTCCATTGTTACGAATGGATATGGCAAGTGGTTCTATTTCTAGCACAAAAATTAACGCAGAAAGCGGACATCCTTGACGAATTGCTCGTCCAAGTGGGAAATAAGGTGAATTTATATTGTTTGTATGGACAGATGCTTGGGGAGAAGAATACAACAATTTAATCCAAGATATGAAAACTGAACCAAAGCTAAATTTCTGTAAAACATAAAATATGTAGTCCCACTCCACTCGGTTGAAAGCTTTCTCTGCATCAAGTGAACTTAGCACTTCTGGAATCAGCCTAGGGGGAGTTGAATAAATTATATTAAATAAGCGTCTAAAATTAAAATAAGAATGCCGTCCTTTAATAAATCCAGTCTGATCACAGGTTATCAAAGATGGTAGAACATTCTCCAGGCGTAAAGCCAGACACTTAGCTAAATTTTTAACATCTACATTAAGGAGACTTATTGGACGATAAGATTTACAGTTCAGGAGGTCTTTGCCTTTTTTCAGGAGCAGAGATATTGATGCTTGGGTGAGTGTTGGAGGAAGGTGAGAAGATTCTAGACTGTCACTGAACATTGATACCAGTGAAGGGGACGGTTTCGGAGAAATTTTTTTTATAAAATTCAGCGGGAAAGCCGTCAGGTCCCAGAGATTTCCCACTCTGCATGGACTTAATTGCTAAGTTGATTTCATCCGGAGTAAGAGGGCCCTCCAGCCTCGTCATTGAATCCCGA